AGAGAGACAGCCTCACAACTTTGGTTTCTGTTCTATGCCAAACTCTCTCTCCTTTCCCGCCATCTCCTCCCACCAAGCTTGGCTTACCCCTTGTCCCCTCTCCGGGGTATGGTGACTCTTCCTCCACCAAGCCCCCCCTCCCCCGCCCCGAGCGCCCTGCCTTGAGTGGGTCTGTCTTCTCCAGTTTCCAGCAGGGGGCTGTGCCAGCTTGTGTGAACCTGAGAACTGGGAATTGTTTTCAGGGATTTTGTGAGCACGTTGTTAAACACAGCTCCTGTTAATAATTAAGTTACGTAAACTTATAATTAAATATATTTATACACACTGGAAACATCGTTTTCTAACTTGCTGCATTTTCCAATTATCTGCGCGCATAGGTTACTTGTATCTGGCAGTGGAGAACCCACTGATGGTGGTGTAAACCCACTTAGGGTCTGGTGGTGTTACACGGGGGCTCCTGGCCTGATGTGGTAGAAATATAGACACTGCAGTCCCCACCCCTACCCTTCCCACCCCTGAGCCCAGAGAGAGAGAAGGTTGTTGAAGTCTCCAGCTTCCATTGGCTCACCTTTGACCTTGTAGTCTCATAGTAGGCCTGACACAGAGCAGGGGCTCAGAGGATTGGAACAAGAGGAGCGAGAGTGTGGGTATTGTCCCTGAATGTGTCATTACCTGTTCGTAACAGCTGCCATCAGGGCCGGCCCCGGGTGAGCACCGTGAGTCCCATGGAGGGGTCTGTGAGTTAGCTGGGAGAGCTGCTAGCCCAGGCAAGGGCTGCAGGGCCCCAGAAAACCAGGTAGGTGTGGGTGGTTTTGGCAGGATTCACAGGCAGCTGGGCCCAGGGAAGGTCCTGCCTCTTCCTGCCCCAAATGGTCCGGGCAAGGTGCCACCTTCCGATACCCCTGTTCACCAGGTCGCAGCAGGAAGATGGGTGGAAAGGCTTTGAAACTGGGCCAGCTGCCAACGGGCATCTCAGGGGTGAAGACTGTCTACCATACACAGGACAGGCTGAGCAGTTCCACAGTGGAAACATAGACTTGGATACCCAGGCATAAAGTTCCCAGGGGCCCTTGAACCCGAGTTGAGCACAGAACTCACTGAAGGTGAAAGGAGCAGGCAGCTTGTTCACAGACAAGCCCCTTTCATAAACTCTGGGACCAGCATAGAGCATGTGCAACAGGAGTGGCTCAGCGAATGGTGGTCAAACCAGGAAAACAAGAACTTAACTCAGAAAAGGATTGGGCCTCAGGCTTGAAACCACAGCCACTTTTGCCTGACTTCATTTGGGGCTTAAATTTTTGTGTGTGTGTTTGTGTTTTGAAACAGGGTCTCACTCTGGCTGTCCTGTAATTCCTCTGTCGACCAGGCTGGCCTTGAACTCATAGAGCTCCAAACACCTCTGTCTCCTGAGTGCTGAGATTAAAGGGGTGTACCCTGTGTTTGGCTTTTCACTCGGGGCTTTTGAGGGAACACAGGTAGGACCTACAGAAGGGGCCTGTGCTGGTAAGCCCTAGGCTGGTGGGGGAGACCTCAACCACCCTTCCCCTCCTCCTCAGACCACAGTCTCTCGGTAGCAGTTAAAGCTGCTGGCTGCCTGAGCCAGGAGAACTGTAGAGAGGATAGGTTAAACCCGGCTTCACACAGTCTAGCCAGAAAGGAACAGTGACAGGTGGCAGGTCTATAAGGGTAGGTACAGTGGCAGAGAAGGGGTGGGTGGGGGTGGGAGGGGTGGCTTTGGCTCCCACAAGGCACATGGGGTTTCTATGTGAGGGAACCCAGATTTCTGATCTTTCCTAGCTGCTCAGCTAGAAGCCTTTACCTCCTTCTGGAACTGGCTTCAAAGAGCCCAACAGAACTACGTCTATGGAGAGCCCCGCTATCTTCTCTGTCTTTCTAGTCTCCCTCTTTGAAGTAAGGAGCATTACTCAGACTGAGGCACGTTGCTTGGCCCTGGAGCTCATGTCCCACATTTCCTCCCTGATCCTGTGTCTGCCTCCCTGTCTACATCTGCAGAACAGATGAAGTGCGATTGCCATCTTTCACATAGGGCTTCTGGGAGAATCGAGCGAGTCAATGCCATATAAATCACTTAGAGAGATGACTGGCCTCAAGTAACCACCTGAAACAGGCGGACTCTATCTGAACTGTTTTTTACCAAGCTTCCCACGTCCCACCTGAGTTGGTGGGAACTTGCCCAGGGCTTTTCCTCTCCCATTTTCTGCTGCCCTCTAGTGGAACTCATCAGTATTGTCCTGGGAACACTGAACTTGTCTGCAGAGACCGTTTCTTTCTTCAGATTTCAATGGAAATTTGTCATTTAAGAAGTGGTTGACTTTTGTATAGACTCAAGAACTCTGTATTCTTCAGCCCAAATAGAACTCATTTGTGAGTTGTCAGTTTGTCTTCTTTTGTAACTGTAGTTAAAATGTAGTCGAAATGCAACAAAGAAATGCCTTTGTACCTTTTCTTTCTTGACATTGACAATTGACCCTTGGTAGGTTTTACCTGAAACCTAACAGAACACACTCCTGCCAGCATCCTGCCGCTTAAGATCCTCCAGACTTGGGGGTAACCGTCAGCCTTTCTCAAGTTCTCTCTCTCCCCCCCTCTCTTTCTTTCTTCCTTCTTTCCTCCCTCCCTTCCTTCCCCTTTCCTTTCCTTTCCTTTCCTTTCCTTTCCTTTCCTTTCCTTTCCTTTCCTTTCCTTTCCTTTCCTTTCCTTTCCTTTCCTTTCCTTTCCTTTCCTTTCCTTTCCTTTCCTTTCCTTTCCTTTCCTTTCCTTTCCTTTCCTTTCCTTTTGAGAAAGGGTTTCTCTGTGTAGCCCTGGCTATCCTGGAACTGCTCTACAGACCAGGATGGTCTCAAACTCAGAGACCATCTGCCTCTGCCTCTTGAGTGCTGGGACTAACAGTGTGCGCCACCATCACCCAGCAAGTTCTTATCCTCTGTCCTACAGCAATAACACTGCGACCTTGTGTGTTTGGCTCCTGGCCTGTCAGTCTGCTTTATGCTGTAAAGCATAGAACAGAGTTCCTTCTTCCAGGTCTGGAGGCTTCGAAGCTCGAGAGTGAGGGCTCCCATCTGCTCAAAGGCTTCTTGCAACACCGTGCCTTGGTGGAAGGTGAAAGGGCAAGCAGGGACATGGAGGAGCGAGAGGAACTAAACTCTGACACAGAAGCATCCTTCTCAAGGGCAGAGCCCTCAACTCCTAACCACTGTTATTATTGTCATTATTTTGAGATAGGGTCTTAGCTCCCTAATTACCTCTTGCAGGCTTCATCTCCCATTACTGTTGCATTAGGGATTAAGTTTCCAATGCAAGAATTATTTTTGAGATGGTTAATCTTTTAAAAAAAATGTTATTAGCATATGTTAATTATACATAATAATGGGCTTCATTGCGACATTTCACATGTGTACACATTTTCATCACAGCCATTCCCATTACACTCTCTATGCCCTTCCCACTCCCACTAATCCCTTTCTCTCCCCAACAGTGTGTGTGTGTGTGTGTGTGTGTGTGTGTGTCCCCGTCCTGGTGAGTTTCATTAGGGCTGTTTACAGCGGCACGGACACCTTACCAGTGACTAGACCACTGAAGGAAATGCTTCTTCCTTTCCCATCGGTTGTTAACCGTGTATACATCCTTGGCGAGGGCTGGGATCCCATAAGCCCTAACCCCATGACAGGGTGTCAGGGGACTCAATCTTGTCCAGCGGATGACATGTGGTGTCAGTTCAAGTGTACAACAGCCATGTCACGCCTGGAAGTCACCATTTCACACTTCTCCCCACCCCCTCCTCTGCTTTCACATCTTATGCCTTGTTTGTCCCTCCCTGGGCAACGTGTGAAGCGGCGGGGCTGGGACGGATGTAGCTGCCCTGTTCATAGCTGGGCATTCAGTATTGACCAGTTATGTGCGTTTCTCTGACCAAAGCTGTTAGCAGCAGCATTCTAGGGGCAGAAACGTTGCTGTTTGGAAGGCTACATTGCAGACACATCATGTTCCCTTAGCCAAACAATAGCTGCAACTTCTTCACTATGCCCTCCCCAGCCACTGACTTCCGATGGGGTTTACAGGACCAGATTGCCCCCCCCCCCATGTAGAGCGCATGGCAGACAAGCTACTCCTGCCCAGCGGACTCAACTGCCTAGTTAGTTGGTACCGTTGCAGGCAGGGTCCACAGCGAGTAAGACTAACAATGACAATTCTCCCTTAGCAGCCTGTGTAGCTCTTTCTGGCCCAACAAAGGCCAGTCAGTACGAAGGAAGCTTCCAGTGCACTTCCAGCTTGATCCAGCTTGATTTCTGTATTCCCTGGGGTCAAGGAGTAAGGCGCTTTAGGGACACACTCATCCACGACACGGCTTTTCTCTCTGGCACCTGGTTCCGAACCTGTCTGTACACGGCAGGGACTCAGTGAGTAACTGTGGGTCCATAATGGACTCTCTACAACCAGGTGAGAAGAGAAAGGACCACCACAAAAGATGGGGGGAGCTTGGTTCTTTCTGAGCAAATCTGGGGCCATGTGCTCGTGTGCCTGAGGACAACATGGTTAATGGCCACTCTAGATGATGCCAACAAAGATTCCGCCGCACCTGCACCAGCTTTCTGCACCTCCGCCCCCGCCCCCCCCCCCCGCAGTCCTTTCAAAACCCACATCTCTCAGTTCATTCAGGTTCTACCCCCTCCTTCTCAGCTACCCCCATCCCCCAACCCGTCAGAACCCCAGCAACCCCTATATCCAATGAGGAAGCCTCTAGGGTCCGAGCTCCGCCCCCTCCACCTGCCTTTGCGGGGGCTTCGCTCAGCAGAGTCTGCTATGCAAAGCCTTAAGCTCCGCTGAGTACCGTCCGGTTCCGCTCCGGGCAGGACTGAAGGCGACGGCCTCCGGAGGGCCTGTGCAAATGTATACTTTGAGGTCTGGCGGGTACCCCAACCTCCGGTTTTAGGATCGCCCTTCCTAAAGGTGACACTTGGCTTCTTGCGTGCTCTCTCCAGCTGCAGGAGCTGGAACTGGGAGCAGCTGCCGCAGGCATCCCTATCCAACTCCTGTTGACCGTCTCTCAGGGCATCAGACTTCTGGTAAGTGGGGGTTTGGGACTGCTAGGGTCAGCTTTGAGTCCACGTAGTTTTTACTGTGGGACTAGACATAGAAGGCTATTTAGGATACACACACACACACACACACACACACACACACACACACACACACAGTTCTCTCTCTCTCTCTCTCTCTCTCTCTCTCTCTCTCTCTCTCTCTCTCTCTCTCTCCTCTCTCTCTAGTGCTCTTTGGGTCGGAGTTTTCTCTCCTATGCCGTTATCTGGTCTTCCGAAAAAACTCTGAAATACTCCACTGTTCCTTAGTACTGTCTCCCGAACTGACCTCTTTCAGATCCCAGCTGTAGAGCATCGCTGCCCAACTCTGTTATTGTGGACATTGGCTCCACCCAGTGGCGAGAAATTGCATTTCAGCAGATCATCGTTAAAGTGGAGGCTTTCGGCCACTGGCTGCCTATGACTCCCTGGATATCGAAGAAGACAGGAGCAAGGTTTTTTTCTCTGCCTCAGTCCTTGCCATAGATATGGCTGAAGGTTGACTCACTCCATCCTTCTATATGGATCTGAAGGGAGGTTGGGTACTGTGCCCTTGTGTCCAGTGTCTGCCTTTCAAAGTCCCCCTTCAGGGCACTGTCCTCGTGCCATGCAGAAGCCTCTCCTGTCAACTCACACCAGTGCCGCCTGCTTGGCAGGTAGACCCTCAGTCACAGAAAAAGCACCCGCAACTTCTCTGTGTCCACTAGGAACCCAGGGCGTGTGGCCTCCCCTTTAGCCTGGGACCCACTCTCCGGGAGGAAAGAAACGGCCATGCTGGTTCTGAGAAGCACTTGTTTGGGGTTCTGTGCCCTTTTCAGCTTTAGCCACTGGTTGCAGTAAAGATGTACTCTGTCAGGGGATGGGGGATGGGTGGCTTATTAGCTAAGAGTGCTCATTGCTCTTCAGAGGACCTGCATTGGTTCCAGCACCCACCTGGGTGGCTCATGATTGTTTGCAATTCCAGCTCAAGGGGTCCAGTGACCTCTCCTGGCCTCCCTAGGCACCCTTACATATGTGGCACATAGAGACATATGTATGCATAGAAAATAAAAATAAGTCTTAAAAAATAGTACTCTTGTCACATGAAGTGACATGATGTTGCTTCTGGGTCCCCGTTTTGACTTCCCAAATCCTTTGCCACCAAGGTACCGCTGAGGCTTAAGTGTGTATGTATGTAAGGGCATGGTGTGTGTATGGTGTGTGTGTGTTTGTGTGTGTGTGCTGTATGTATGTATGTATATATGAGTCAGGTATGTGTGTGTGGTGTGATGGTGTGAGTGTGTGTATGTGGTTTGTGTGTGTGTGTGTGTGTGTGGTGTGGGTAAAGACACAGTGTGTGTGGTGTATGTATATATGTGAGTCTGGTATGTGTGTGGGGCGTGTAAGGGCACAGTGTGTGTATGGTGTATGCGTATGTATATATGTGGTGTGTGTATGTAGTGTGTGTATGTGTGTGCAGTGTGTGTATGTGTATGTGCAGTGTATGTAGTGTGTGTAAGAGTACAGTATGTGTGTGTACATAGGACTCCGGGTCTGCTCACTAAGGAGCTCAGTACTGGGCATCCTCAGAGGCCCACGTGAGCATGATAGTTAGAAAAAATGCTTGGTCCTAAAATAAGAATTCTGCCCAAATGGAAAACCAATAAATTCCTAATGAAATAGCCAACTGTAACATTTTATCAACCTCATTAATTCTTAAATTTAGTATCCATAAAAGTTTCATTACATTTGAAAGAATGTGTGGGCTAGGTTTCTCTTTGTGGAGTCCCAATTACAAAGCAGCTGCTTCTAGCTGAATAGTTTCAGAGAAAAATTGTAACTATCCTTAGAAAAACAACAACTTTAGAGCAAAGTTTAGTATTTTATTTAGCACATGCCTTGATGGGGAGGGAAGTGGTCCAGAGTTCAAAAGCCCAGGCTTACAGGGATGCTGAGCTATCAGTATCTGTGAAGGAGACAGGTGGACCATCAGGGAGTGGGTACAGAGATGGTGTCCTCCTTGCATCCTGGCAGCAGTGTGCTGCTGTGACCGTTCACCTTGTTGGGGAGCAAGGAGGTGCTGAGCAGGGCCGGTGACTGAAGATCAGTGCTTAGGCTGCAGGTCAACCCATGGGAAATTCAGGTGGGTACGTTCTCATAGGCTGCTGCAGTGGGTGGGGCTGGGGCAGGTCCTTAGAAATGTCACTTGCTGGGAATATGCTCTGGGTAAAAATTTCACTGGGTGAAAACTTTGCTGGTACTGGGAGGCAATGGTCACATCTCAGCTATTGCTCTCTGTGTGTGTATGTGTGTGTGTGTGTGTGTGTGTGTGTGTGTGTGTGTGTGTGTGAAGCTGGCCACTCTTTGCCTGCAGGTGTCTTAGGGACACATCAAAGGGTTATTAGTCTTCACTCTGTGGATGTTTTCACCAAGTGCCTATATTCTGTTCTTTATCTTTAGGTTGCCACGTTGTGCCCATAACACTTGTTCTCAACTCCAGCAGAAGTTGCTCCCTCAAAGAGTCTCGCAAGGACTTTGTAAGAAATCGACATCTCCTGCCTTCCCTATCTTCTTTGGATCGGTGATTCAGAAATTTGAGCTCACATTTCCTAAACCGCCATTGCTAAGACTCCAAATAAAGTCCATTGACGTTTTCTGTCTCTGTGTTTGACTCAGTTGATAGTTTCCAGGTCATATCTCCCCCTGCCTTGACCTCCAAGTCCTCACTCATCCCAAAGTTTCTGTCAACTGTATTTTATATCTTCTTTCCTTTTTCTTTTTCTGGACAGAGAAATAGATCAGGATCCATTAAAAAATAGGTCCAAGGGCTGGAGATGCAGCTGAGTGTAGGAAGCTTGCTCAGCCTGGACACGGCCTCAGGTTGGTCCCCACCATAGCAAGGAAGAGAGGCTAAGTCCTATGAGGCATGAGGTACTCATAGGGAGTCTCAGGTGCTTATGGGACTAAGGCAGGAGGATCACGTGAGCTAGGAGTTTAAGACCCCATCTCAGAAGAAAGAGAATAAGCAGAAACAGGCAGGTAAGATGGACAAGGGGAGGAGTCACCAAAGCGGGGCTTCTTTTCTTTCCTTTAAGATGTGAACCGGTCAGTTGTTACAAGCCCCTGCCTGGGCAGGAAGCCCATGCTTCATTCTCTCCTCAGGAAAGCCCCTCTACTCTGCAGGGGCCGCATGACTGTCTGCCCTAGTTTGCGTCATCTTGCTGTGGTGAATACCATGACCGAAAGCAATTTGGGGAAGAAAGGGTCTTTCTATCTTTCTGTTTATTGGATTTTCAAGACAGGGTTTCTCCGTAGCTATGGAGTCAGTTCTGGAACTCACTCTGTAGAGCAGGCTGGCATTGAATTCACAGAGATCCACCTGGCTCTGCCTCTCAAGTGCTGGGATTAAAAGTGTTGTCGTCATCACCTGCCAGGGTTTATTATATTTTACAGGTTAGAGTCCATCTTGAAGGGAAGTCAGGAGCTCAAGGCAGGACCCCGGAAACAGGAATTGAAAAGGCCATGGAGGAATACTGCTATCTGGCTTGCTCCCAATGTTTTCGCCAGCCAGCTTTTCTTTTTAAAACAAACAAACAAAAAAACCAAAAAACTTGGACCAGTTGCCCAGGGGTGGCATTGTCCACAGTTGTCTGGGTCCTCCCATATCAACCACCCATCAAGAAAATGCCCCCATAGACATGTGCACAGGCCAATCTAATTAAGGAAATTTCTTAATTGAGTTTCCCTGTTCTTAGGTGGCTTAGTATGTGTCAAGTTGGCAAAAGCTAACAGGTACACCTTCCCAAGGTGAAGGGAGGAAGGAAAAGGAAGGGAAGGGACTGGAGGAGAAAGACAGAAACCGAAGAAATGGACAGAGAGATTAGATATAGATAAGCAGACAGACAGACAGACAGGGAGGAAAAAGGGACCGAGTGTGATGGGCTGGGGAGATAAGTGGATGAGGTGCTTGCTGTGCAAGCATTAGGGTCTGAGTTCAGATCCCCAGCCCTCACATAAAAAGGAAAAGAGCAGGTGTGATAGCATCTGTAGCCCAAGTGTGGGAGGCGAAGACCCCCAGGGACTTGCTGGCCAGTCTAGCCAAAACTGAATTGCAGGTTCATTGAGAGACCCTGTCTCAAAACAAACAACAAAAACAAAACCTGGAGATGCATTTGAAGAATACATCTGGTTGTCAGTCTCTGGTCTCCATATGTATGTGCCTGAATGGGCAAACACAGCTGCATGCATGTGTACACACAGAGAGCACACACACACACACACACACACACACACGAACTGAGTGGAAATAATAATATAAAGGGTTTAGCAGTCACACACTGTGACTTAGGATTAGTAAAGCCGTGATCTTTTCCAGGGCTTGTTTCTTGTCGTACATCTCTGGGTTCACCGAGTCTTCAATAACTTGTTCCGCTAGGAGCGTTGCCAGGTAGAGTACGTGTGTAGTGGAGCTGATGTGTGACTTAGTGGAACGCCTGGAGCTGGTCCCATGGAAGCAAACGGGGAAAGAGGCACCCTAAGATTTATTTTATCTTTAATTATGATTATGTGTGTGGGTGGGTTATGGGCACATGAATGCGGGTGTCCAAGGAGGCCAGAAGAAGGTGTTGGATCCCCTGGAGCTGGAGTTACAGGCAGTTATCAGTGCTGGGAACAGACTCTGGCTCTCTGTAAAAGCAGGATGTGCTCTAAACCACTGAACCACCTCTCTAGTCCTGAGGTACTTGGCTTTCATTTACAGAGGGTCTAAACATCAAGCCTAGCCACAATGGGTGATCTTTAGATTAGTGAGGTTACATGTGCTATCTTGAGAATGTGTGACCTTTCCAAACACTTCATTGACCCCAGAAATCCTTGCCACAACCTCAACAGACAGGTGTGATTATATCCATTTTGGAGATGAAAACATTAATTCTCACATGGCTGCTGTGGGATAATACTCTTGTACACTGTAAAGATTTCTCACTTGTATTGGTTTAATAAAACACTGATTGACCAGTATCCTGGCAGGAAGTATAGGCAGGGGAACCAGACTAGGAGAATTCTGGGAAGAGAAAAGGCAGGGAGTCAGTCACCAGTCAGAAGCAGAGGAAACAAGATAAGAATGCCTCATTGAGAAAAGGTACCAAGCCATGTGGCTAAACATAGATAAGAATTATGGGTTAATTTAAGTTGTAAGAGCTGGTTAATAATAAGCCTGAGCTAAGAGGCCACACAGTTTATAATTAATATAAGCCTCTGTGTGTTTCTTTGGGACTGAATGGCTGCAGGACCAGGTAGGACAGAAACTTCTGTCTACACATGGCTCAAGTGACTTTCCTGAATCCACACAATTACTCAGTAGTTGAACTAAGATTTGAAACCAAGTCCATCTGGCTCCAAACCCCTTGTTTGTTTCATAAAACAAAATCGTGCGATTATGTCTCCAGTTGGCTCAGCACCTCTATGTGCTGAAGGGATGCTCTCTTCTCTTTTCTTATAGGGCTCTTGAGGCCAAATCAACCCCAAGGTGCTGCCTGGCCTGGGCTTGCAGGCCTTGCCTATTAGGTGCCAGAACCCTGTCCACTGTGTTTGGGCAAGGGCTGTGCATGTGACTCAAACTGGTCAATCAGATTCTCAGTGAGATCATGGGCACTGGAGAGGGTAGTCCTTCTATGTCTTTGTTAGAGGAGTTTCCAGGAACTTGGGGTTGGGGGAGATCCCTGTGTTTCTTTCTGGCTATGTGTGGTTTCCTACAGGAGAAGGCGGGCAACAAGGAAGAAAGAATAGGAGGCAGGAATACAAGCCGAACATTTGAGCCAGCAGTTTCCTTTGGTGTGCTAACATCTGCCCTTGAACTTTTCCAATTTATTTACATGACTCTTTATTTATGTATTCATTTTTGTTTCATCTAGTTTCAGCTGGATTTCTGCCATCAGCTTCACAAAGAATTCCAACATGATTATATAAAGTGTTATAAACATAGGAGCTCGTCCCTGGTGGAAAGGGAAAGATAGCTGGAATCATGAAAGAAACCTAGGTGGAGCTGAGGACACAGACAAGAGATTTATCAGAAAGTCAGGGGTGCACCTGGATCTCTGGAGCCAGGGCACAAGAACAAGGGTCCTGATAGTGACCGGTGGAGCTTTGTCCCCTCTCCGTTCTTCCACCTCTGGCTTCCTTTTCACCATCGACTTCCCTCTTCCCCGCACCCCCACTAAGTAAGAACTTAAGAAATTTCTGGAAGGGGCACGGGGAATAGAACTCAGGAGAGTGCTTGCCTGCCATGCATACAGCCTTGGCTTCCATCCCCAGCACTCAGTAAACCAGTGTGGCTGAATCTTGATTGTTGGGTGGTGAAAACGAGAGGGTCAGAATTTGGAGGTCATCATCTGCTACCCAAGTTCAAGAGTAGCCTTGGGCTCGGGAGCTTGCCTCAAAAAAATCCCAGAAAGTTCTGGAAGGGCCCATGACTGACCCAACCATGCCTATTCACTTGCAATTAGAATTGCTCCCTCCAGGGAGGGAGGTAACTTGGGGCTCACTTTTGTGGTTTTGGAGTCTTTACCATGGAAGTGGTGCTTCACAAGAGAGAATGGTCGGCAGAATGTCACTCTCAGTGACACAGCATAAGCTCAAGCATATATTCTTTGCTTCCATTCTTTCCCAGTGCGGCCTAACTCACCAAGGCCAGGTAGCCCGGCTGGCATATTAGCACCAAAACACCACTCTTGCTAGGCTTGGTGTAGCTGGGTGATGTCACCTGGTTAAATTGTGACCAGTGAGATGGGCAGCCTTGTGTGGAGCTTCAGGGTAGGCTGCTAAAGCGAGCTAGCTGTGTGGGCAGGGTCCCTTTGCCTCCTTTGTCTCCCTTCCTTTCCTGTTCTTCCTCTCTGTCCCCTTTCCTATCCTGTCCTCTCTCTCTTTTCTTCCCTTCTCCCCCACCCGTCTTTCTTTCAACAGGTCTCATTTTGTAGCCCAGGCTGGCTTCTTTACCATTTCCTCTTCCTCTGGTCAACAACGTGGTGAGGGTTCTGGCAGCACTGTGGACTGTGGAATGGCCATGGGGGTGCAGACAAGTGCTCACATGGACAAGTAGGATGATGGAGCCTAGGGTTTGGGGAGGACCCCTCACCAGCTCTAGGTAGTCTATCTTTGGATTTCTTTTAGGTAAGAGACAATATATTCCTATCTTCTTAAAGCCTATGATTTGCATTTTTTAATATACCCAAATCTTGTTCAGCCAATAAAGCTCCTTTCTTAATGATCCTGTTGGTGTGTGTGTGTGTGTGTTAGTTTTTCCATAAATATAAAGAAACATTTGCCCTTTCTTACTGCACACTGGTGCCTCGCTGTCTGAACAGTAGTTAAAAGCCTGCGAGGCGAAAGAGCCATTGAGGCCTGATCTCAGCCTAGACAATGGGTTTCTGAGGGAGAGACTGGCTTTGATGTAGAAAAACCTGGTGTTTGAGTATTCTGTCTGGGAGCATGCTACATATGTCTGTGAGTTTCCTATTAACTGAGTGTCCTCCTCAGGTGTCCTCCTCAAATAAATGAGAGCTCAATGTCTCCTTGTGCCTGCCGAGCTGACTGTAGTGTCCTGGCTGTCCCCTGGGAGGGAAGTGACTCCTGTAAAATTCATGGATGATGGTGTCGCATGAGTTTCA